GAAATCCAGCTGTTCCTAAGAGAATGAAGCTATATTGCTCCTGATATTTGATTCTATAATGAAAAACATGGATCTAACTCTGTAAATCTCTGATCCAGAAGTACTGACATTTCAGACTCTAGGGTACCCTTACATTTTCTATTGTGTGTGTATGTATATATATATTAGAAATAAAGTATAATTACATAGAGAAAGTCATATGGGCACCTTTATCTCTTAATATATAAAAGGCTGGCATGTTGGGTTATGCACTGCGCTCCAACTTCAAGGTCAGCAGTCCTCACCCACCAGGCACTCCCCGGGAGAAAGGGCACAGCCACCTGCAGAAGTCTTTGTCCTAGCCTAAGGGAAATCTTGAGATGCTAAGCCAATGATTCACTCTTTATTACCATGGTATTTGGGCAAAAGGTGGGGTTACCTTCTCCCATCAAAGAGTTACTGTCTCAAAAGCTCACTGGGTCACTATGAGTCAGCATCATCAATGGCAGCGAGCTGGGTGTTCTGGACCAGGGTATTTGACAACCAAGCCCTTAGACTAGCCTACCCCTTTACCTTTAACCTTTCATCCCACTGCTGCTCAAAGCAAGAGTCAAAGCTGATCCTCAAATCTACTGTCTGCCTTTCCCTATAGCAGACATAGCTATTGACATCATTAGGAGCCATGGTGGTGTAGTAGGTGAAATGTTGGGCTGCGATCTGAATGGTCAGCTGTTCAAAACCATCAGTAGCTCCTCAGGATCAAAACTGGGCTTTCTATTCCCATAATGTCAGAAACCCAAAAGGAGGGGAGGGGGGTGTCCCTATGAGTCAGCATTCACTCCATGGCAGTGAGTTTTTATTCACACGATTATTCAGAGTGGATTTGGATCATTTTCGCACAGTGAACCTTGAATAGCATTTTAGGGGAAGTAAGGAGGTCATAAAGAGGCTGAGTATTGGTTTGAGTGGCCACTGGTCTGACTGAGACAGTACAGACACTCATATATGTTGCCTAATGCTTGCACCATCACTTTCTTTTCCTTTCTATCTTTCCTTGGTGGCACAGTGTTTACTCATTGGGCTGCTAACCACAAGGTCAGCAGTTCAAAACCAGCAGCTGTTCCACAAGAGAAAGATGAGGCTTTCTAATTCGTTAAAGACATACTGTCTTGGGAACCCACCATTCTACCCTGTCCTTTAGGATCCCTATGAGTCAAAATTGACTCAATGGCTTTGGGTTTGGTTTTTAGTTTGATCTTTTCTTAACTTCCCAAGAAAATACTGTTACATTCCGCACACTGTTCCTCAACGCATGGTTGCAAGGTGCAGCGAGAGAGAGTGAAGATCAGTGCTTTGCAAGCTGGGTCCACACGTCACTTATTGTCTCCACCCACACGCATTGCTGTGTGCAGACTAAGGCTTACGTTTTTGGAACCCCTGCTTTTTCTCTGCCTCCCGGCAAAGCTACTGACTCTGAGGAAACTGTGTGATGGAAGTGATACGGAGGTATGAAGACAGAAATGGGAAGTGGACTTAGTATACAATATCCTGGCACGCAGGCCTCAGAAACCACTTCCTTAGTATTGGAGATCAGATGCTAGCATGGTTCTCTGTATTAGCTCAGTCCCCCTTAGTATGAAGTCACACAAAGTCAAGTACAAAGTCTTAAGTAACCTTCTTCTCCTCCCTTTTGCCTTCCAGATTCCTTTGTGGCCCTGAATGGTAAGAAAGATTTATTCTCATAATTTAATATCAGTGAAAATCTATTTGGGAAATTCTATTTCACTAATCCTCTCGAGTATTTTCAAGCCTTAGGTTTCTTCTTTAATTAATGTTTTATCATCATTATTTTTTTATAGACATTTCAACTCCTCTACCAGATCATGAAATGTCTTACAACACAGTGTATGGTCAGTTTATGGATTTCTTTCTTCCCTTCTTTCTTTTTTTCTTCTTTTAAAAAATTTTCCAAGTGACTCATCTGATAGTAGCTTCTAGTTTTCATTCCTAAACATTGTGGACCAGATTCTTCAGGATGCCAATTCACTAAAATTAGCTCTAGATTGCACTAACACTTCAAAAATCACCCTGCCTTTTTGAGACCATTGATGCATGAGACCGAGTCCTAAATTTTTAATTCGTGTAACATGAAATATGTCAACCTTGGTAATTTGGTGATGATTTTTAATGAGTTCTTGAGGGAGAGGAAATTGCTTTTGGATGTAAGAGAAAAGAATAATACTGAAAACTAATAGCTCCTCTGCTCATGGAGAATACCAGGCCCCAAAAGACAGGTTTCAAACAATACAGGGACAATCTATACAGGGTGTGGAGACAGGGTTCCTATTAGGCAAAATTGTTCAATATAACATGAGAGGAGCCGTTAAAATTTAAGTATGTGAGCATATGACTGTTTGGACAGATTCTTCAGCGCTGCTTCTTCAGAACATACACAAGGAAGAGTGACACAGTGGAAATGATATCCAAACAGCCCATTGTTCTTGTTCTGAAATATACAGACTTTATATTCAACAAAGCCAGTCACTCTATAAACGGAAGATTCGGAGCTCTTTATGAGAAAAGTTGAAATGTCGCTGTTTCATCTGCATTTCTCAAAACTCACCTGCCCATTGAGTTGGTTCCACCCACAGGGATGCTGTAGAGGGTCTCTAAGATTCTGAGGCTTTGTAGGATCGACAGGCTCATCTTTCTCCTTCCAAATATTTATCAAACGCTTCATGTCCTTTTGAAACACAACATGAAAAGCGTGTTTGGTGGCAAAAGTTAAGCGTCTACATTACGACAAACATTATGAATTTCTCTGTTGAGTAGATATTTCCTTGTAGATATATTTAAGATCAATGACAGAATAAAGGTATCAGGAAGATCATATTTACATATGTGATAAAGAAGTGAGCGAGCGGAGAAAGGGAATGAAAAGAAAGGCAGAGTTAGGATTCGAGGAAATAGTTGAAGATGGTAACACTTTCAATAGCTCTGAAAAATCTCTCATCCCATGTGTAATTTGTCCCGATATGGAACACAATACTTGCTCTTTCCTGATCAGCCCACTGGTGGAAAGAGGGGGCATCGAACAGAGGAGTACACAGTCTGCCCACCTTTCACAGCCTCGGACCTGTGATTCTAGACCAAAGTCTGGAAGAGAAATTGTTCAAGAGGCAAATGTTTGCTAGCTTCCCTGCCCTTCAGGAAGAAAACCCACTGAACATCTGCTCTTCTCCAAGATCCTACTTTGCAATTGGTTCCCACAATCGAAAAGTCTTTGTCAGCTATTGAGAACTTTAGATCTTCCATCTAATTGAAGCAGCAACCTCCCTAGCATCCATCAATCATGCCAAGTCTAGTTTTAATTCCCATGTAATTTCTCATATAGGCAATTAAAGCAGAGCTATCTATGACTAAAACTCACCCCCCAGGCTACAAATCTCTTATGTCCTTTGCAAAGGCCACGGAACTCATTAATTATTTCACATTAACCCATTAAAGGACAATGTCCATTCATACCCAGCTCGTGCTTAGCTGTTTCTGTTATGAAACTAAAGAAGAGTTGGACTTTTCATTTCAGGTAATGATCTGCCTATGGCAGGCTAAATCCATCTAGCATGACGTTGTTGAATAATTAATTGACCGTCAAAATGGGATCTGCTCCAAATACTTAGGGGGGAAAATAGACTTTATTTTATTCATAAGTTGTTTCAAGTGGCTTATTTTGGAATTGTTGCTGTTATTGTGCACCATCAAGTCAATTCCAGTTCCTAGTGACCGCATAGGAGGCTCCCGCCAGCGAGGTCTAAGGCTGAACTCTTCCCAGCAGCAGATCGCTCGGTCCTTTCTCGTGCAGGGACACTGGGAGTTCTAACCAAGTACCTGTTGGTTGATAGCCAAGTCCTTTAACCTGGGATTTGCGTTTTGGAAGCGATGGACCCCAAATAGAGTTATTAACTCATCCAGCAAATACTTATTTAGGGTCAAATAGTACATTCTCAGCACTGTAGGATATACTGGATTCATTTGAAGGGCCTGGTTGCTATTTTGATGATCATGAGTGTAGACCTGGAAGTCAACTTCGAGGTACATTTCATTTCATGCATGAAAGCACAGTGTCTCCGTGCAAACCTACAGAGTGCATCACAGCACGGGAACTGCCCGATTCATGAAAAGGGATCATTTTAACACACTCTATGCAGACTTTCCACTTCAAAAATGCTCTGTGAAGCACGTTACATATGCAAGGACCTCTTTTTTTAGTGAATTGGACCCTGATTATTTTCCTTCCTTGTCTCTTGTATTGATTTAATGTCTCTTCTTTGTGTCTAATTGGACTGCAAGGGTTAGTAATAGGTTAGATTCGTTTGAATGGCCTCTAACCTCTAGAATCACAATGGCCTGTAGATATAGAGAAACAATCTGATGCATATTAAAGTTAACTTTTAAAATACAGCTGTATCTTTGTTCTGTGGTAACTCTGTTCATTAAAATCTGACCTTTGTTATTGAACTGAACAAAGTAGAATTTAGGCTCCAAATCGATTGATGTATATAATACCATATCCACAAATGATTATTTTTATAACATTAATTTGCTTGTAAAGTCTTCTAGGGAATTCATAAAAAGAAGATCGCTTTTTAAATTGGGTTATAAAAGGAAAAATACAAGCAGTTTCCTTTGAACATTTTTCAAGCTTGGAGAGGTAATAGGACACAACTTTGATGACTGATTTCAGACTAAGGGGCTGCTCCCTAAGGGAGTGTATACATGGTGGTTCCAGCATTTTGGAGAATTGTGTACTGCCTTCTCCAACTGTTTAATTCACCACTGAGATGTGTTCCCTGTCCTCAAGCATAAGTTTAAAAGATTACCAGCCTCATGCTGTCTACCTTGGTTTTTCTTTTTTTTAAAGTAAATCAGATGCATAGTTTCTCTAGATTTACATATAGAAAATCGGGCTGTGGTGGGTATTAGACTAACACTTCAATGAAAGGGGGAAAGAGGCTGATTTCTCACATTTGTGTAAAGCATTTTCCTACCTAACTACCATCTGGTCCACATTAATTTGCTCTCGTAGCCATAGCTTTCCATTACCAGTGAGTTTCCCATGTACTTGTAGCATATGGTCCAGGAAATCTTTCTACAGAGAACGTGTCCCTGAGGCACGTATTGCCCCTAGATTACCGTATGAAGAAATGGTCTCCCTAAACCATACTTATGGCATTACCATTAAATTGCCCCTTGAACATACTTAAATTGAAAGTGCTCAAAATGCATATCAATTCCCACTTTTGTTCTTTTCCTTCTTCCTCTCTCTTTCTTTAACTCTGTACAAAGCTACAGATAATTGTTTGCTTGTGCTGGGGGCTAAGTATTCTCCTAAGCAGGCTTGAACTCAGGAGTAGAAAATACAAGCCAAAGTTTAGACCTAGTCTAAACAAAGAGAATTTCACGGAAATTCTATATTCTAGATGTCATTTCTTGGGCTAGTAACTTTTCTTTTTAGTATTTTGAGATGAGCTGTGAAATCCAGAAATGTAAAAACAAGCCCGCTTGCTTCTTGAGTCTTAAATGCAAACTGTTTTAGCAGTTACATGTGACCCAAACTATTCGCAACAAGAAGGACATTTGAAGCTCCCTGGAGGTCAAACATGTGCCTCAGGAAAAGATTACTTCAGCACTACCAAAGAAATCATTGGCTTGCTTTTTCTTGCTCCGCAAAACCTGAGGAAGATCAAGAGTTATCTTTTCATTCATATTTGTAACACATGCTGATGGCAACTTGCCATGTTAAAGTTCCAATGGTAGTTTAAAAGGAGAAGGAGGCAGCACCACCGTCATTACATTCTGTCTTTCTGGTCACCAGCCTGTTAGGTATCAGCTCTGTGGTGATGGCATTTGGTGTCTATTTGGTGTCTATTTGGTGACCAAATGAGTCCATCTGGTGTCATCGTGAATCTGTGCTGCTTTGGCCCAAAGACACCAGTTGCTAAGTCATAAAACCTGCCCTGATGTCTTTGTAAAAACTGTCCAAGAGGTTGCTATATTTCAGCTGGATTAATAAGCCCGAGATTCTACTGGAAAGTCAACAATGAGTCCCACTTCATTTCCCTCAGAGAGAACAAGGAGGGGGACAGCTGAGATCAAAGCACCTGATACAATCCAAATTTAACCCTGCAGAATAATGGAGGGCAGGTTTAGGAACAGAGTCACAGGAAATGCCCAGGCTGTCTGCTGGAACTCCCAGCCGAAGCAGCCTTCGGCTGTACTTAGCCTATGGAAAACTGTTCTGCAGCTTAACAATCTACCCCTCTCTAACCTCCGTCATACAGACTGATAATAGTAAGACCTTAAAAAGAAAAATCTCTCCTCTGTATTATGTGAATCAATGCAACAGCCTTGATTGGGATGAGATGCAAAAGACACAGCCACACCAAGTAGTAGCAGCAACAGCTAAGTCGCCATCTGAATGTCCAGGAAATGTGATAGAGTTGAGTTGGAGCTGAAGTCTGGAAATACCTTGTCGTCTCCAGAGGAAGTACTCAGGCTGCCTGAGCTGTCTTCCATGGGAAGAGGCTCGTCCACTACTCCACACATCTGTCCCCATCAGGGAGTCAGACACAGTGTTCCTGGAATGGGCCTCTTCTGCCTTTAACACACCAGGGGACTAGCAAAGAGAAAACCGCAGTGCTCAGTGGGCACCTGCTGCATAGCTCACACTGCCAGGAGCCTACTCACATTATTGTATTCTCCCAAGCACCCTGGGAGGCAAGGGTCCCTATCCCCAACCAGAGGGAACCCCCACAAGTGGCAGGGACAGCATTTTCCCCGGCATCCTTGCGCTGAACCCACCCTGCTAAGCCTGGTCACGTTGAGGGTGATCCTCTAGACTTTTGACCAGCTTGGGTGCCACTGTCTGGCCTTTGAGCAGAAGGAAATGGGTCTCCTGGGGATGTGTTCCTAACTGTATTTGTGATGCAAACAGGGCATTCCAGTTCCCTGTTGCCCAGCACCACCACGTCAGACTCCACGGCTCAAGAGGGGTATGATTCTAGGGGAGGCATGCTGGACTGGACCGATCTGCTCGAGTCACCTGACAGCTCAGACCCTTTGGGGGCAGTGTCTTCCCATAATCACCAAGACAAGAAGGGTAAGGCCTCGGAAGCGCCCTCTTCACCGTGGGCGAGGGAGGGAGAAGCGGGGAGGACGATGTAACTGCTTCCAGCTGAATCGGGGGAGGACCGAAGGAACCTCCAATCCTCTCTGATGCAAAAACATATCCAAGCAGAGACACCAGGCTCGCGCTAAATATGATCCTAGTGGATTCCCTGGCTGAGGAGAAACCACACAGAACAAAGAACACATCCTCTCAAGGAGGTGGGGCTTGGCGCCAAGGAGATGCTGGCTCCAGTGATCCCTTCCCACCCTCTGCATCTCATTCTGTGATTTTTGTGCGCCCTGTTTTCCCACCATAATGTAAGGGAACACAGTGGGGGCTTTGGCAAGCGAATGTAATCTCAGTAAAGAGCCTTTAATCCGTGAATTGAGAAATAGCAGGGCAGAGTCGTTTCTGGCTGGTAGCATCCCTCTCCCTAGTGTGGTGCTGAATTTGAATAGAGCCGAGGTCCTCAGACCTACTGAGACATGTCCTTAGAGGACAACAGCTAAAACAAAAATATGTTATTTAATCAAGCAGAATTGGGATGCATTTAAAACGGAAAGGAAGCCACACTAAATGAAAGGGACTTTACTGTGAACTGTCCTAAATTCTCCCTGGCTTTCTTTGCTGAACTCACGGGGAGGAAATATCGTTTCTCTCCTCGCCCTTCGCAGCTTCTGGTAACACATCCTACTTTGGTTGCAGCTGCGACAAAGAGGCCTTTACTTGTCCAGAAACCAGTCTTGTAAATCAGAGGCTGAAAAGCCCAGTTATGTTGCTGAGCCGTTTCCTCCCATTCAGAATTGTTTACTCCTATACGTTTTCGAGAGTTTCGTCCAAGTGCAGGTTGGCGTCTCCAGGGCGGAGCAGTCACGGTGACCTTATCAGACCATCTCTAGCACGCCCCACGCCCCAGGTTGTCCGCACATGTCCTTCCGGCTTTGCTTTTGTACCTTGTCTTCCAATTCAGGCTAAATCCCCACCCTCTTTTTTAAATCCTGAGCCCACGAAAAACTCTACTTGCCAAGCCAAAATATACTTTTAAAAAAAAGTATCCCCTTTTTTGTCTTGCTTTTGGGGTGTCCCTAGGTGGCAAGAACAGTTAAGCGTTTGCTTACTAACAGAAGAAATCTCACTCGCTGCCATGGGCTCGTAGTGAAAGTCCTGGTACTCGACTTCCGAAAGGTCACAGCCTTGACCTACAGAGCACTGTTCCGTAACCCATGGCCGTGGCGTCCGCTGGATCCACACCAGCTCTTTAGTTTTCAAGCGCCCCTCTTGTTGCGTTTCTGGGTTGGGGATGGGGCTTGTTTTTTAGTGTGCCCCCTTAGTTGTCTATGTTATTCGTATGCACACCTCCTTTTATGAGTCAGTAGGGCATCAGATCTTTTTTTCTAAGTGGTAGGTGGGGAAGGCTTTGTCTCCTCGGCCTCTTGAAGTTGGAGTGGTCCCTCTGACTTCAACTGCCCTCCCTAAACAACCCAGCCTGATTCGCAAGGGACCAGGGGAAGTATCTCCGAGGGCCACTGCCCCAGCACGTGCCCTTGTTTGTTATGTGTGGCTCCTGACCTCAGCTGTGTTCGACTTGGCTGCTTTCTCCAGAAGAGCAAGACAGTGTGTTTGCACACTGTAACTTCCTAGGAGAAACAACAACCAGCCACCCAAACGTCTAAAACAGACCAAAAAGAACTAGCCTTTCTCGTAAAATATTTACTCTGTCCATCAAATACCTAGCTGCCGGTGCCAAAAAATGGTCTCTCCCTTGATAGGGATGTCGTGAATTGTCTCCAATAATTAACTCCTTCAAGGAATGGAGGTTATCAAAGAGTCCAATGAACACTTTGACTGATCATTTTAAAATTCAGCCCTGTTCGTTCTCCAGGGTCTTATTATGAATATTGGCGAGCTGGAAGCAGTTTGCATCTTGTCAGACAATGGTGGCAGAGGCGGTTTGCATGGGTGTTCAACATGATCACTGTGTGCGTGCAGTTACCTCCTTGCCTTGCCCGGTCAGGTTGGAGTTTGATTTTTGACAATTGCTTATACGTACTTTGATGGGGCAATGCCAATGAGTTGTTATGCAGAAATGTTTTTTTGTGTTTGTTTTTTTTTTGAAATTGTGTAGCTTAATGTTCCTTTTTACCATGACTTTTATGATTTTAATTTCCATTTTGCTACAAATTGTTTTCCTTTTAATGTTCATGATTTGTTTCAAACTTCTGTTTGTTTGGCCAAGCACCGTGTGGTCTGGCTCGGTGGTTGCATTCTCCCCGTAGAAAAGTCTCGTTCCTTTTCCAACTCATTAAGATGGCCCTGAACTTGAACCAATCTGTGACTTCCCTCGCTTCTTTTCATTCCCCGACGTGGGTGTCTTGATGATGTCACATCCGTGGGTGCAGCATCTCCTGGGATGCGAGACTTTCGTGGTTTTTCTGAGGGCCCCCAACAGGTGCCCTTTCCGTGGGGCCGATTGTCTCATGAGAATGTGACATTTGTGTGCCCTCAGCTTTCGGAGCAAAATATACTCTGGAATTGTCGTAAAAGACCTCACACCTCTCTCCGCTAAGCAGAAAATGTGCCCACCGACCTGCTGTGGGGAGGGGGAGGGGGGGGCGGTCAAAGGCCTAGTGCCCTTTCATTTGGGCCGCTGAGGAGCGTCCAGTGAACAAACGAGCCTGCAGATAGCCGAGCACCATGCTCTGGTCCTGATCTTGGATTCAGCCCCACCCCCACCCAGACAGTCCCACATTTCCAGAGTATGTTTGCTTGTCTTTTTCTTTGTTTTCCTTGCTACGTCTTTCTTATTGATTTAATCCCGTGTGTCCCTCACATTGTCAAAGCAATGTCCCTCACCTGGCAGCCTAATCCCCTTCTGCTACCATTGTTCTTAGCCTCCCCCGTTCAGAATAATGGACCCAAGCCCTCTGCCCCTCTGTGGAGTGTTCCAGGGCTCCTCCACACACCCTGGGAGTAGCATTCCGATGCTGTATGCACATAGACGCAGACGAACAAAGCACCAGAAGAGACCTGCCGAGCTCAGAGGACCATTATCACAGAAAATGAAGTCATTGTCTCTCTCCATAGCTGGCCTTGCCCTTCATTACCCTACTGGCCTTGTCAAATGTCCCTCATCCTTGCTGCTTTTTTTAAAACAGCCTGGTATCTCTCAAGTCGTAGATTCATTAGTGAAAACCCAGCCAACTGCCCTGTTTGATCTCTTGGTCCCTCAATGTCTGGAGCCTCTTGAGCCAGCCCTTTAATCACCAGGCTGATAAATGAGATGCAGCCCTGGCTACATCTTTGTTCGTTTTGCAACACTTAACAATATGTATTATTTATTCATCCTTTAAGTATTGAGGTGGTAATGGGTAGGTACAAAAGGGCTTTAATTACAAATGAATAACTAAGAAAGTCTGTTTATTTATTATTTTTATTTTTAGATCATCCCCTCCCTCCTTTCCTACCACAACAAGAAAAATAAGTGCTTTCTTTTTTTTAGGTTAAATAGTACTGAGAACAAACAGCTACTTCTGTACCTTTTCTTCCCATCCCACAGTCACAGTGCTATCTGACCCGATTTCCAAGAACACTGTGAGCCCTGTGAGACAGTTAGCCAGCCTCGGATCAGTGTTGCATGGATGTAGAACAAACACTGAATCCTGCCATTAGTCCACAAGAATACACCACCGAGGGCAGACAACCTCTGAATTCAGACTTTCTTGTGTAGACTGCTGGTGAGACTGCTGCAGAGTGAGGAACAGTCAGCATAAAGGAAGATGCCTTTCTAAAACCTGTTCCCATGGGACTGGCTGTGCCGAGACTGTAGAATGCTTGTAGGCATTTGAGGAAGTGCCCTAAAGTCAAGTATCACATTATTACACTTTGTCATGAAAATATGCTCAATAAAGAGAAGAAAAAGATGAGGAAACAAATTTTAAGCTAGAGGCCAAAACAGCAGTTTAGACTAAAAGGGTACTATAAAGGTTGGATTTATTTTCATCAATAGACAAGCTATTTGTAAAAGCATTGCAGGGGGCTGGGGGTAAATATTAGAGTACAATTCAAAATGTCTATAAAAGATGATGCATATGCCACCTGTGTTTCACAACAGTCCTGAGAGGATCTTACAAATGGCACAGTTTGCCTCTTTACCATCAATTCTTTATTCTGAAAGTGCATTGTTGCCTATAGCGGTGTTGCCACTCAATAAGACGTGTACCACCTTATACAGACGATGTCCATGGCCCGGGGACATCGTGACCTTTAAGAATCTTCAATCGTGGTGGAAATGATACCATTTTCCTCTCTCCTTCTCTTCTGGGCTGTGTCAACGGAAAGTCTCCTCTGGGGGCTTTGCCACTGACAGCCACTCTTGAATGTTGACAAAGAGCCGACTTTGCAGGCCGAGTGTTGTCGTGCCACAGTAGCTTAACTGGATTTTAACATGGTTTTCTTTTCCGTTCATTTTACTTTTATAGTTATCTTCTATCTATGACAAGTGGAATTGCTTTTCTATTTGGTGATAATGGTATGATGTTTCCATTTTGAAATGTCTTTTAAAGTTAATTTACATAACCGATGAACTTTAAAAGACATTTCTAAATAGAAACATTATACCATATTTGGGTAAGCATAACTTACTTAATTTGTGTCAACTATTAAGTCAATGCTAATGCAGGAGATGTCGCAAAGCAGAACTGCTCCGTAGGGTTTGCCTAACAGTAAGTCTTTACCCAAGCAGGTCTCCGGGCCTTTCTTCCTTGGAGTCGCTTGAGCCACCCATTGAAAGAATAAAACTGGTAGTTGAATGACTAAAATGTACGTCATGCTGGGCTAGGCAATTCAAGAAGACCAAACAGCAAAAATAAAACAAAACAAAAGACATTTCACTGCCATCGACTCTATCCCAACTCATAGCGACCCTGGAGGACAGGGTAGAGCTGTTCTCTGAGTTTCTCAGACTCTCTCTCTCTCTGACTGGTGGTGGTTTT